TCACATACACCTGACGAGTTTCGCAGCGCTACACGTCAACAACCCATAGCCGATGTCTCTTTAAGAGCCAACGCTCTGTGTTATTTAAAGACCTCCGCTGTGCTATTATTTGAGGGCAATTAAAATGAAAGGTGTTACATCCTATATTAGCATCTGTGCCCCAGTATTTCTAGTTGCGGAAATGGGTGCAGTTATGAAAGTGTCCACATTTACTTCCGATCGAGAAATCAAGTAAAGGCTGCATATAATAGCTTTTTGGAAATTAGGACAGTAGTAGTCTGCAAATCAACTAGTTGACAAGTCCTTAGACCTAGCAATTAATGCTCAACTTGGTTTAACATTAGCCTCTTCTCCCAAATGGGAATTGTGAGTGCCTAAAACAAATGAAATGTATTAGGATAAGGAAATGCCTTCCTTTTGATTATAGGGAATGAGGAGGCGCTATGTGAGCCTAGTTGCCACGCCAGGGTTGGCAGAGGCTCACCTCCTAATCTTTGAAAATGAGACGAAGTGGGTGGCGTCTAATCCACCCCTTATGTCGCCCTGTAGCACGCCATCGCCCACGCCTTCCGCTTCTCCTCCTCGACCTGCCTCTGAGATAGGATCAGCTTCTCTTCAGACACTTGAAAACCTTCTACAAGCTGACGATGGCTCTCGCAAAGGCGCCAAATACGTTGTTCGATTGGAAGGCCTTTTCTATGTTGGGGTGAATCACGTCTACGTCCATGGACGATTGTCTGTCGCTGCAGCAATAAAATCAGCCTTGGAGAAACTCGTGGTTGGATCAAAGAACCACGGACATCAACATCAAAAGCAGAAGCATCAAAATCCATTGGACCCCACTGGAAGTGCGGTATGCTGAAAACCACGACATTTTGCCATCCTAACAAACCTACATATTACTCTATTTCATCGCCATACCTTTCGACTAGGAGTCTTACTTATCCACCATCTCTACACCCGGCACAATTAAGGGGTCTGTAGAGGCCTTAGAGTCCTCGCAACGACCGGCATCGATCTGCGGATTGCCATCACTAAATGGTGTCTCTTCTGCTGCCACCTCAACTACCACTAATCCATCACGTTCACCCACCTCCTTGGGACTTTACTTCCAGGATGGGAGTTCTACTCTAATGTCCTTTCCCACCCCTGATCTCCTTGAAGATTGGCTGCGCCTCTTATCCGCAGTTGTTGGAACCAATCGGTCGCGGTCTGGGTATCCTCACATTGGTAAGTAAAATACATCTTGTAGGTCGGGGATTAGAGTTTTAGAAGGCCAGGCACAGCCTCTCGTGTTATCGAACTCATGGTCTTACAAGGAAGAGTAAAACAAGTTCCGTTTTCTTTGTGCTTAAAATATACGTGAAAGTGTGCACACAAAGTCTGCAGCAGAAGGAGGACGAGGAGAGGGAGGTCATTAATAACGCCTTGTGCGCAGTAAATGACGTCCTAGTTTTTGCGCAGAGTAACGCACCTAATGCCCTCTCAAGTATTTCTACCTCCTTACATGGGAGAATACAGCCCTTCATGACGCATAAAACGTACCCCTAATTGAATGATAATGAACTCCTCACCGAATGTGTTAAGCATGGCTGATGGTCGTCTAGTCACTCCCAGTTTTCAGAGCGTCTCCTTATCACTCGTGACCATTGGAGCGGTAGGGAGTACACACAACACCTTTCAATCACTGAGGCTAAAGAAGTCTTATGGATCTTCAAACCTTTTCAAGTAGACGTGTTGCACAGGCATCCACGCACATACACACACATAAAACACCACGTGTACGTGGCCTTGGAGCGCACCAATGTTGGTAGTGCTTCTCTCATTTGCATGTAGACGCACAGACGCACACATGCACCACTTGTGCGTGCCTGAATTTTTGTTTGTCTTTTGCCTGTAGACGGACTTATGCAAGGCAGCTAGAGTGTGGGAAACAAAACTTTCGAAAATGCTCACACTTGACACCTCTAGCTAATATTGCACAGGAGATGAAAACAGTAGAAAAGGTGGCGCCAATGGAACCAGTTATTTTGACAATTGGCGCGCCCTCCGAAGGAGAGGGGAGAGGAGGGGAGGGGATAGCGAACAGATATACAGGGCGAGTGATAACAATAGATATATGTGAGAGAGCGGCGCTTTACACCACGTCTTCTTCTCTGCCATTATCACTGAGTTTTTGGCATCCCATCTCATCGAAGTTGTTTCCACCTTTGTGTCTCGAAAGAGCCTGCATGAATAATTCATTTGATACCTAAAGTGAAATAAAAGTATATGGCGTGAATGGGTTAATAAAAAAGCACTAAATGGGTGAGGACAGGTTCCGGCTGTATGCTTTTTAGTTCGCACAACCCCACTATTTTTCATAGACTCTCCACCTCTCCCTTCTTGAGGCAGGTTGGTGGGTCAATCAAAACTACTTTCCTTCCCTAGAATACGCCTCAACAGTGACGTGCAGGTTCAAGGCGAAGGAATTCAACTCGGGCCCCTTTCCCAAGATAAAAGGAGAGTGTCTCTTCTGCCTCTCCAAATTGGACGTCCTTCTCATCAACCAAAACATAAAACAGCCCGACCTCTCCATTCGCGTACGTGATATTGATGTAGAGTTTAGCAGTCTCTCATGCATAAAACAGCTTCTACATCCTCATTAACCGGTCCCCATTATGCCTCAAGTTAAAAGGTTGATAAGGGTGCTCATTCTACTGTTTGTATGTTAAAAAAAAA